TCTTGGGTAAAATATTTTTCATGAGCTATTTCTGTCAAAATATTATTATTTTCATCCGGGTATGGAATTATTTCGAATACCGGGCTTTTTATTATTTCTCGAGGAATATGGGATATTATAAGTATTTCGTTTGTATCTGATTTAAACCAAGTGGAAGTTTTTGTATTCAACAATTTCTCAGAATTAACATGCAACAAATAGTCATGTTTTAGTAATTTTGGGTTAAAAATTCCTAATCTTGTGAGCTGCATTCCCATCTCAATGTCTTCTATATATTCTGTAAAGTGTTGTAAGTTAAATATAAGGATATCTAATTTCTTTCCTTTTTGTTTCTCTTGATCTAGTTCGTTCATGATTTCTATTCCTTTGTTTATAGCTTCTATTATGTAATTTAATTCGTTAACCTGAACGCTGTTTTCTGCTAAGTTGCTTATTTTTTGTTCAATTTCTGCTTTGTCTTCTTGATCTAATGTTCCAAATAAGTATTTATATGCTGTTCCTACTATGTTAACTAAACCTCTTTTGCTGCGTTTGGCTATTTTTAAGCCGTTTATTTCTCTGTTTAATTTTTCTACTAGGTATTCGATTTGTATAAGGTTATTGAATTCTTTACTTTGTTCAATTAAATTGTTAAAAGTTTCTTCGGTTTTTGTTATATTAACCGTTAAACAGTGGAATTCGTAATCTGTCGGAATGTCTATGGTTCCTGTTTTAAATATGAGATATCCGTTATGGGCTTTGATAGGATTAATTTCAATACTCTGTGCATTTATATAGTTTACAGTTATTGATAGTAATATTATAATAATTAATTTAAGCTGGTGCTTGTATGTTTTGATCGCTGTCTGTTGTTGACCTGTAATTGTTATATTTGCTTTGATTAGTCTTCTTTTTCTTTTTGAATTTGGTTTTGTAAAAGTAATTCGTAACTTTTGTTTCGTTCTCGGTTCCTTTTTCAAATTCTATTTGTCGATTATAATAATTAAGTGGTCTTTCTGTGATTTGTAAATGGTTACTGTTGTCTTCTTGAGCACTATGTATTGTTGCTCTTGTGCTAATTGTATCTTCGCCTAAGAAGTTTTCGTTTAATTGAATTCTGGACAGAGCATCTGCCACATAATTTTCTTTTCCTGGGACGTATTTAATTTGGAAATCAAACTCATTTAGCTTGATCTTCCACCTTTGTAATTTCATGTTAGGTTCTTTCATATTATTTAACCAGACGAGTGGTCTGTGATCACTAAGGATTTGAAATTGTCGACCAAAGAGATAGGACCTAAAGTATTTAGTGGCCCAAACGATTGCTAATAATTCTTTTTCAATCGTTGAATAATTTAACTCATGCTCGTTGAGAGTTCTACTTGCATAGCATATAGGCTTATGCTCTTGCGAAAGGACGGCCCCTATTGCCATATTACTCGCGTCTGTAGTTAATGAAAATGGTTTTTCGAAGTTAGGGTATATTAAAATTGGGTCGGATGTTATGAGTACTTTTAGCTTTTCAAACGCTAGCTCGTAGTCTCTGTCTTTTATATTGATTTTTGCTCCCTTTTTTAATTTAAGTGTTAATGGTTTTACTATATTAGCGAAATTTGGTATAAATTTCCTATAGAAACCACATAATCCTAGAAATGATTTAATTTCTTTTGGGGTTTTTGGAATTGGGAATTTGACAATTGCTTGTATCTTGTTGGGATTTGGTTTTATACCCTCAGTTGTGATGATGTGACCGAGAAATTCAGTTTCTTTTCTCATAAACTCGCATTTATCCAACTGTAGTTTTAAGTTAGCTTCTCTAAGCTTCTTAAATACCTTTTGTAGCGACAAAATGTGTTCCTCCAATGAAGTGGAAAAAATAATAATGTCGTCTAAGTAGACCAGACAATCCTTAAAAATTAAATCTTCTAAGAGATTGTTCATACAACGTTGGAACGTTGCAGGTGCATTCTTAAGACCAAATGGCATGCGAGTGTACTCGTAATGGCCATGTTTAGTCGAAAATGCGGTCTTGGGTATTGAACCAGGATCCATTTGGATTTGGTGAAAGCCTTTGGCTAGATCAATGGTTGTGAAATATTGACATTTTCCAAGTTTGTCTAATATTTCATCCATGATCGGGATAGGGTATTTATCATTAATAGTTAGTTCATTGAGATTGCGGTAATCTATGACTAACCGGAATTTTTGCTTTCCAGATGCATCGTTTTTCTTTGGAACGATTATTACTGGTGAGCAGTAAGGGGATTTGGATTTACGTATGATATTTTGTTTTATCATATCGCTTATTTGTTTATTTACTTCCTCATCGTATATTTGAGGATATTTGTATGGACGCTTGTAAATTGGGTCCTCATGTTTCGTTAGAATTTTGTGTTTAATTGTACTAGTGAAAGTCAAATTGTCACCTTCATGGTACTGGATATCACGAAATTCATGTAAAACTTTTTTTATTTTTTCTTTTTCTTCTGAGTTTAGGTGCTCTAGCCTAAACTCATTGTTTTCTATTAATTCATTATTAATAGCGAAGTTAAATGGTCTGTCCTCTGTTGAGGGTGGATCAAGGCACTCTTGTGCGGTCATGTCCTCTTCGACCTCTTCGTCATTATATCTAAAACAAAAGTTAAATTCTCCTAAGGTTACGGATCCTTGTGCATAGTCTATTTTTGCTTGACATGCCTCAAGGTATTCTCTCCCAATCAGAACATCATAATGCTCTGAGAAGTCGTGAATATAGAATTTTTGTTTGCTCGGACAAATTTTGCTTGCTCCTAATCGTATACTTTGTTTTAATTCAATAACACCATTTATGGTGTGAACCTTTAATGTTTCGTTGTAAACTGGAAAATTTAAGCGGTTTGTTTTCATTAGATTTATGGTTGAACCTGTGTCGATGACACATTTTAGAACTTCGTCATTCATAATCAATTTTATGAATGGATTTCTTCTGTTTGTTCCGAGGCTTGCTGATGAAAATTTTCGGATGTATCCATTTTCATCTGCCCACTGTTACTATCTCTTTGACGTTTAGTCGGAGGGTTTGGTGCATTCAAGCGTGAATGGGACTGATTTTGGTAGTTTAAGGGATTTTGGTATCTACCTTGACTTAATTTCTGTTGGAACTCGTGGTGAGCTTTCTGATTGTCTTCGGACTTATTATGCTGTTTATTTTGTGCGTGATAACTCTGATTCGTGTTGGAATAGCCACTTGAAATGGTGGTTGGGTTAGCATTTTGCTGATAATTTCCCATGTTCCTACGATTGTTATTTGGATTTCCCTGAACATTATTATTTTTAGGTTTTTCAGTAACGCTATTTTCATATAATCCCTCTCTTTGAGCTACTTGCTTTAGTTTTTGTGTCGACGTAATGTCGTGTCTGGCTAACATCATGAAAAGCCTATCTGGTAATTTTTTTGTAATAACATCTTTGATTGTGTTATTCATAGCATTTGTATAAAGGGTTGTATTGCTAGGTATATTTTCTAGTGCTAACTTATTTAAAATAACAAAAGATTTATTCTCGAGCTCCTCGATGAACTTACGGACGTTTCCTTGGTAATTCGTGTTGTATAAGCGTCGAAGGAGTTCTTCAAATGGTGTCTGCACTTTGTATTCTTCAATCAATGCGTTTCTCAGCTCCTGCCAAGTGTTGGCTGCTGTCCTTTGTGATATTCTCTGAGCATCTCCTGTGACTTGCAATTCGATGGCTCCGTATAAGATGCTATGTTGTCTAACATCTCGGGTTGGATACAGGTGTAGGATGTAATCTATCCTTTTAATGAAGGCGTTTAGTTGATCCGTTGATCCGTCAAAGCTTGGCACCTGTCTAAGTTGTGAAAGGGCCTGGTTGAGGTGTTGTTCTGATAATTCCATTGTCATCTTGGTGTAATACACTTTTTTTTGAATAGTTTTGAGTTTGTAGGTTTGAACTTTATTGTTCTTTGATTTTGCACTTTTATTTTAGGTTAAAGTTTGTGATGGATTATTGGTTAAATGTTTTTTTTTTTTTGTGTGTGTGTCTTAAAAAGACTCAGTAATAACGTATTGCAGGGATCAAACGATATGCAAAGCCAGTCGTTATTAACTGTAGTAGCTTTATTGCCCAAAGGGTCAATATTATTAAGCTACTAGTGACCCGAAGGTTCTTGTGCGGATACGTATTCGAGAAAATTTTTATTACACTCCGACAACACTTTCGGTCGCGATTGTGCGTTAGATCTGGGAATTAATTATCCTTTAGCGATCTTTAATTTTTCCCGACGTATCCTACCGGCTGCGCCAATTAAGTTTTACACGTTAGGTTACTATAAAAAAATATATTTCAATTTATTATTTTCACTTAACGGCTACTTTTGTTGAGTACATTCAGATTTGCTTCCCGAATATGAACTGATTTATCTAACTGTTGCGGTCGCTTAGCAAACTTCGCTTTGAGAGAGTTTGAGTCAAAATTGAGTGAAGTTTGAGCTGCGTCAGCAATTATGCGTGGGATAGTACTCTGATGGGAACATTGACAGTGGCGTGATATTTAGGGTGAATTGTTTATGTCTACCAAAGGGGGACAGTTTGATCTTGACCAATGTCGATGTTATCACCAGGCTCTTTGTTTACAATATTAGAAATGTTTATAATTGTGCTTATGCTTATGTGCTAAGATATGTTAAAGGGTGGGTGCGACTATGGATATGTCACTATATATATATATATATATATTTATTTTTTTTGTATGTATGGCTCAACAAAATAATTACTGTAAATATATTTATTCCATATATGTATTTATGCATATGGCTGTGTGTGTGTGTCACGGCTGGGTTTGATTTTGGTTTGGTTTGGTTTGGTAAATATGCGCGCTCACACACACCGCACACACCACACACACACACACACACATACTACAAAACCCTTGCACACGAACTACGGGTTCCGGGCCAGCAGATCGAGTCGCTTTGGTCACCGCCGCACCGCCGAGCTATACACGTATGTATCACTATTTTCCAGCACATTTGAGCGCGCACCCGTTCTGTTATTACCCACCCGCACCACCACCACTACCACCACCGCCCGCACCGCCCACACAACTGGCCACACCGTTGACCCTCAAACAGCTGGGTAACTCGCTTACCTCCATGACACAGGCGGCGCAGTTGGCCAAAACTCTGCGTTATGCGCCAGGTAATAACAAAGCTGCTTAGTTCTAGTTTTAGGTCAATATTTGAGTGTGTGTAAAGATTTCTTGCAACGAAAATTGCTTGCTAAATAAAGCCAATATCAAGAAAGAAAGGCTATCTTCGGCTCGCCGAAGATGAAATACCCTTGTAGACATACACAACAGCTTTATTTTATCACGGGGCGACTAAAAGACATTCTTTCATGGTAGACAGCCCGAGTCGTAAGCACAGATTGAGCAGTTCCAGGAAGGAAGGCGGAGGCTGCCTAGCAGTGAATATTGTAACCGAAAGAAACTATCCAGACAAGGGTGCTCTTCATATTGATATTCGTATGAAATATATGTATATTTAATGTCTTATTAGGAGCACTTCATGAAGATGCATATATATATTACAAATGTTTATATTTCAGTCATTCGATATGAGTTTGTGACTAGACTAGAAAATAATCCCTATTGTAATTATTGAGTTTGGTTCAAATATTATTATTCGCTCACGAGTCCGACTTCTGACCAATCATTTTTTAAGCGTTCTATATGATATTGTGGTCCAGTCCGTGCGATTCCGGCAAATGTACTCTGTTAAATATAACATAAACAATTTGTGCACTGTCTACATGGGCCTAAAATGTGGTTGAATAATATAAAATATAAAAGTTTTAATAAAATATTATTGCTTAAGAATGACCTAAAAGTCATGATTACTGAATATTTAAACAGCGACCCACTTATAGTACTAATGAATTTCAAACATTGGCGTATATTGACTCGATTCCACAGGAATGTTTATACGACCCGATGAAACGAATCTTTATACAACGCTGGAGCCGACATTGAGCAGCAATCCGAATGTTTACTTCCAGCGCAGCGGCGCTGTACATCCGGGCATATTGTACTGACTGGAGGAGCAGAGGAATGCAGAGAAGCACTGGAGCTATCGAGAACACTGGAACTGAGTATTTTTTCTTAATATTAAGCTGCAGCACAAAGCGCTCCCCGCACACCCCCACACGCCCCTAATACGGCTCCCAAGGAGCCGCAATAAGTGAATAAACGGAATAAATAGTGTAATACATTTGTCATAATTGCTAAGCTTTTAGGTTATAAGAAATGGAATTCGAATGCTAAGTTGCGATATTTGATAGTTTACTAAGTTTACTTAACAACATATGTCAACAGGCACACACACATACACGCACACACACACAGACTATTAAGCTATACATTTTTGACAAGTTTTTAGTGTAAGCAATCGAATTTGAACGATTAGAGCTCGAAATGGATTTACAATTTGTGCTTCCATATATACAAATATAAAAAATATATAAAACACAATTTTCACCATTTACACAGGCCATATTTGTATGTACTTACGTTGATCTAATCATATTGACTAAAGCTGTTCTCAATAAGTCTGCAATAATGGTGAAAAGATGGCATATTGTAGATATCGGTTGTATCAGAAAATAATAAGATTTCTTTTTTTTATCTTATAAACTGTGTTGCAAATCAGAATAAGTTTTGTCTTACTTGAATTTAGTTTAAATAGATTTAAATATTTTTTCATTATATTTGAATTGACAGTCGATACCTTTAATGCGACAATCAAATACAAAAGATACATAGTTTTTAAATAAAGTTTAGGACATTCGAAATATGCTATATAGAGGCACAAATATAACAAAATTTTATTGCAAAGAAAGAAGGATTTTAATAAGCAAAATTTGTATGTCTGCAAATGCTTTATTAACGTTCCCTTGAATAATACTGACAGATTTTTAACACACAATTATGTTTGGCAAATATCAAAAGATTTATGCCTCTATAAGCAATTAGGCCCGAATAATGGGCAACATTTAAGAAGAAAAACATTTGTTTAACCAAGTAAACGATTGTTTAAGCCAACACGAAATGTTATGTACATAATGCCCACAGGCACACACGATGAGCAAATACTCTCAATAAAAGCAGATAAAAAACAAAAAACAAAAAGAAACCTATTAACAACAGCCACAGCAAAGAAGAAGAAGAACACAACTCGCACTCAATTACAAGTTGTTGTGCCATACTACAACGATTACAATTACAATTAAGTATAATTGCAAATTATTGGCATTGCAGCGCCTATTAACGCCTTCAAACAACAGGCACGGGATGTTATGTGGTATCGAATATGTATATATACTTACATACAGAGAGAGAAAAGATCAAGAATTTCGAACCTGAATCAAGCAATGTCTTAGAATACGTTAACACCGAAACTACTTGATTCAGACATAAAATACTTATTCTAAGTATAACTGTTTGAGTATAAAATAGCTTGAATTAAGTGCTTTTGTTTTTATAGTTTTTTATATATAAATGTAAGGACATCCGCTCAATTTGATGCAGCCACAACTTAAATAATCTTCTTTTTCACCTTATTAAAAACTTTCACAGCTCAGCCTGTCTTTAAAACAGTTCCAGTTTAAGCTGTGGACAAATTTATATAAAGCCAAACTGATTTGCAGTTCCCGATCAATTTATTCAAGAAGTTTCAATTTTAATTTATTTCAATAATGTTTTGCTTGATTGGATCTTATACACCTAAGACATTTTCATTTTGGAATCAACTACGAAAGTTCTTCTCATAAGCTTGCCGTTTTTCTCTCTGTATATAAAAATGTATGACTATATATAAATTTCTACTTATATATATATTTATATATACGTTGCATGGTGGTATCTTATTGGATGCCAATGCAGCAGCGCCGCTGCATGTTTCAAATAATTTCTTAACGCTTTTGCCAGCCGATTGCAATTGGGTGCCAGTTGGTAAACGTTGATGTTAAGCTATTATCGCCAGGTTCTAAGTGTAAGTGCCTTATAGCAATTCCATTACATGACCAACGCCTATCATATGACCCTATATGGCAATACACACACACACATACACACACGATTGCCGAGGGCGTGTATAGAGCGGCATGAAGTGAACTTCAGGCTTGCAGCCTCGCATTAATTAAGTGCAACAATGCAGCACATGGAGTGGAGATCCCTGCTGCTGCCTGAAGATGGACACATACGTAGTACTTGAATAGTTACTAGAACCACATCCACAACACGTCGTTCGTATTAATGACATTTCTCACGAACATTTTGCCAGTGCTACCGACAACAACACAGTGAGAGACAGAAAGACAGTGTCATGTGTCCATGTGTCCAGTCTCCAAGGCATGTCAGTGTCTGCGTCTCGGTCTTAGTCTTGGTCTCGATCTCCGGTCCGGATCCATTCACTGGCTGGCTGGCTAGCTAGCTAGCTGGCCTCGCTTCAATTAGGCGCGCCTTCAAATCACAAGTCAATCAAAGTTGTTAGATTTGCCGTCCTTTTTATCTGCTCCTAGGTCCGACTCCAACTCTGACTCTCAGTCTGTGTCTGTGCCCGTGTCTGGGTCTTGGTCTTGGTCTTGGTCTTGGTTTTGGTCTTGGTCTGTTCCTGGGTCTGATATATTCCAATCGCTTTTATATACTGGCCAGCTGGTTGACATCTGTGACATGGCACAGCGGCGGCATCAATTACAACATCTATGACAGCACAGCGTGAAATGTTTGTCCATGTCTCGGCGCCGCTTCCGCTGGGACCAATTAGCCCTAAGTAGGCATTTCAATGGACTCTGCAATTAGCCAAAATCGAAAGCAACAATTTCATTTCACCATGCCCATCATCATTATCAGCTATGCTCATCGCTCATCGCCCATCGCCCATCGTCCATCGTTCACCCAGCAATATGGAGCACCAATTTGATCTGTTCCTATCTGTGTTGCATTTCTTTAACCCAGGGGCGTGCCAATATTCACGTGCAAATGGCATTTGGTAACGCTTTATGGCGTAATGGGGCAACACGACTTGCCTCAAATGCTCTTACCGATCATTGCAATGGGCGCGGCGTGGAGGACGATGGACGACGCGATGCGACGGTTCCTGTCAGAGATGCGCAATGCTACCAGATCTGCTCCAGGTAACAGAAGTAGAGCACGATTATGAGATATGATCTTTAGGGTAGGCTATTCAATGAAATCTTAATATATCACAAATATTTTTATTATTAAAAAAGGCGCTTTTGATTATATATAGAGTTAACCTGCGCAAGCAAAACAGATTCTCGCCAAAATGACAATCATTCCATTCTAATTTAGAGCGTTTTTTTTTTTTTTGATAATTTATTAGATTTAATATTAAGAGATCAAAAATTAAGGGTTCTTCTTTTTAGCATTTTCCTTTTTTGGAAAAATTATATTTTAAAACTATTAATTTCATAATTTCGCGATAAAATAAAACTATGTCAAAATTATGCATAAATTACCGATTGATTTATTTTATATATTCGATTTTATTTACAAAATTAAATATATTTTCTTGATAACTAATATAATTTAACACGAATAAAAATAGCAAAAAAATAATAATCTTGATCAGAAAAAATAATATAGAATATAGAATAAATAGTCAAAAAAAATAATTAGCTCAGAACAGGCCGCATTTGCCTGAACGGGAATAGCTAAGCACATTTTCGTTTGCAGGCCATATATATTAATTAACAACTTTTATTATTTTTAAAAGTAGAAACCCAACGAACATTTTTAAAGAAAGTCTCTGGTAGCGTCGGTACGAACTCCTGAGATGCCAACACCTGAACAGCCATAACAGCCTTCATAAAATACGCCTTTAAACATTCCCAGTTATTTCCCAGCGGCTCTTCTAACAATTTTACTGATTTGGCCTGACTTTAGGGGTATTTGAATGATCTTTGAAGACATTTAACTGGACTTTTGCTGGTTTATGGCCAGTTGGCTCCTTGTTATTTCGCACGTTTTTCATTGTTTGTTGTTATTGGCTTTAAAATCGTCAGTTTATGAGCCAGAACATAATGTTAGATATTTAAACAAAGCTCTGGCAACGATCACCTTTTGGGCTCATCTCCAGCTTTGATCCAGCGAGACGCAAAAATCACCTCAGGCATTGCAGTCCGCAGTTCTGTCAATTTGTTTGTATGGGCTTTGATTGTTATGCTCTTGTAGAGGGTATTGTAATGTTGTCATGTAATTTGCAACGCATTAAAGGTGGTATCACTCAATCTACAAAGTCTTAATATTGCCTCTCAGTAACAGCAGTCGAGTCGACATAGCCATGTCTGTAAGTCTGTCTGCTTCTATGTAAACTAGGCTTAGTATTATGGTATCGTCAACTAAGTGAATAGGTCGGTCTTTCTGTCGTAGTCGGTTTTATGTGGGTCTTAGATCGTATCACTATGTCAGAGGGGGAATTCTCGGTAGAGAATTTATCTAGAAGAGTATTTAATCTTCTGTGCGTCGAAGATGCCATTCTTTCTTGTCTCTTATTTTTATTTATCTTTATATATACAAATATATACATTTTTTTTGGTAACTTTATAACAATTCGGCGTTGCTGTGGTTGCTGTTGCAAATTAAATTACTTAGTTGGCCGTAGCATTAACTGTAACATTATCCTTGGATGAATGAAGCGATGCCACAACCGCCGAGCCACTTCAGGCACTCTCTGTTACTATTACTACTATTATTGCGGTGCAAATGTTATGGCCGTGTTATATATAAGTTCCACAGGGAATGTCCATAACACTGTTATGGGCCCTAAGGGCAGCGTCACGTTGCTGATTTGATGGGCTTGGTGGGCCAATGCAGATGGAGACGGAGTTGAAGTTGGAGTTGGAGCTGCAGATAGGAGAGAGATCGGAGATAGAGTTAAAGCTGGTCTGGCGATCGGCTGTTGATAAGCTGAGCAGAACTGGTAATGCGTGCATTGACCGCCGCAGCCCTGAAGCTGGAGCTAGAGCTGAAGCCGAAGCCGGAGCTGGAGCACAGCTGACGTAAGTTAAAATTAAATTTGAGGCAAGAGGGAAGCATATTGCCCCGTTTGACTGGGCAGTGAGTACAGTTAACCTCGTTTAAGTGCGCCACGCACAGCCTGATGGGCAGCCAGTCAGGGGACGGGAAGCTGGGGGGGGGACATGCCGAACGGGCGTGCCAGTGTAAGTCCAATTAACAGTACCACAGAGTGCCCAGAGAGACGTCGCTCTAACTATGTGTCGTGCCTGTCGCGTCCCATCCTGAAGGAAGTCACAGTTGACTTGGACGGCATTTGTCGCATGCTCCTGCTTATAGCTCTTATAACTGGTTCTGGCGACCGACAGACCGAGCAAGCACAACCAACTAACCAGCCACGTAACTAACCAGGCAACGCAAACCAAACCAAACCAAGCAACACCTAAGCTTAGAACCGGCAAGCCGGCATATACAAGTTTATAGCGGATGCGTAAACGCATTTGGCTCAAATGCCGTTAGGGCCTTTGACTAAATTGCATGGCCACGGACAGGGCCCATTCGCCTTCGGCTGCAGCTCATATGGCGACGGCGTCGGCAACTGTGACTGCGGCATTTGCATGCGCAGCCAGAGACCAACGCCAGGGAGCGCATTTCAAGTAACGAGATTTGCCATTGACTTGGGCGGCTTGAGCAGTGTTAATGCATTACGAGAGCAAATGCCGCCCAGATCGCCAGCCCCATTTGACGTAATCAACACAATGGCCCGAAAATGTTGTTGGGTCATTGAATTCTTGCCTGCGTATCTATGAATCTTAACGGTTTTCTTTTAGTGGCGCGAGATCAATGTACCTGCCTCTGCTTCTGTGGTTGAGCGTACGTTCTAGTATCATTCGAGCTGCTCTCATGCCCTTTTATGTACGAGCCCCATTGATTAAATAATCCCAGCAAAGTGACGAGCACAGAAGTTAACGTAAAAGCATCTAGCTGAAGCTCAAATACCCTTTTAGTCGAAAAACACTATGAAAGTTAAGTAATCCAGAAATGGGAGTCACGAAAAGAGGGCAGGAATCGCATCTATTTTAATTAATATTTTTGATAAGTTTTCTTTATCAAATGCATTAAAAAACTGTATGGAATGCACAACAATCGATTTCAAAATAAACTGAAAGTATCATTAAGTAGAAAGTTAAATTTGTTAGAGCCTGCCACAATACACACAGATAAGCATATGCCCATGTGGCTCTGAGTCTGAGAAAGAGCATTACGCAATAATGAACGATGTAGAGACTACGTAATTGTTTTTTATGATCCAAAGTGAAATGGCTACCGACTCATCTCTCTATTCACAGACAATTATTTTGGACGCCTTTTCGTGTGTAGTTGAACTTCAAATGCTTTGGAATGATTGTATTGAATTGGGCCAAATTGTTTCAGCAGCGTTAAGAAGATTGAAATGTGTGTTTTTGTGTTGTTGTTTTTTAATATATCTTTGTTGTTTCGTGCCTCAAGCGATGATATGCAAGTTCATTGGGTTGTTGTTGGATTCTGTGATTGAGTTGTTGAGAGGAGTACGAGATGAGAACGCGAGAGGGCGTCTAAAAGGCTGCTTTAATTGTAAGTTATGTAAAAAGAAAGTGAATGTATGGCCAAGCCTATAATTTGTTAATTGTTAACTAATAAAAATAATAATATTTTACAAATTTAATGTTTTCTGTTCTTCTATCCTTTGATATGCCCGATGATCTGGCAATTAAATGGTTGAAAAGTCATCAGCTTAGTTTAAGCGTCTTTGATCGCTGTTCTATTTAAAGCTTCAATCACGATTTCCTTTGGTTTCCATCTGCTAATCCAAATCATCTTTAAGAGATCTGTTCTGTTCGGTCTGCCAGTTCCCCCTGTGGTGCCAACCATTGTATGCAAAGGCTCAAAACGTGCGCTAAATATAAAATTTAATATTGCCGCTTTACATATGTGTGTTTACCGCTCGTAGTTTAAGCCAAATGAAGATGGTCTGCTGCTTCTGGTCTCTTCTGGTCTGGTCTGGTAGGGCCTGGCCTGGCCTGGCCTCGGCTGGTCGATTCTGGCCATCAAGCTGGTCTAATGGGCGCATTTAGCTAAAAGCTCAAAAGTTCAAGTGCCTTTTGGTTTGGGGTTATTTGCAGATTTTTTTACGACTATTTTTTGTATCTCAAAGATACAAGTTTATTTATGGGCAGCGCCAAGTTCACGATCCTCTAGCCGTAAAGTGCAAAAAGTGCATAAAATGCAACGAATGACATTGCAACACCCGGCACAAGAAGCCGCATCAGCGTCAGAAACCGAATCACAGAATCACACAGCCACTAAAGTTGCAGTTTATATGTGCATACTGTCTGTATGTATGTGTGTGTGTGCATGAATGCGTGTGTTGGTAAGTTGAATTTAATGTAGTTTGCCTGCTAAATGCAAACGCACAGCAGCCACCGTGGCCACCGTCGCAGCTGAATGCTAAAAGGGTTTTGGCTTGGATTCGTTTATTTTATTTACTTTTTTTTGCATTTGTATTTTTTTATTTACTTATTTTTATTTATTTTTTTTTGTTGTGCTGCCCCGCGTTGATGCGCCTCATTAGGAGTGGCTGGAAACCAGTTTGAGGGGCACAGATCCCAGACAATTGACAATTTAAACGAATTTCTTTCAAACACAGCACTGACATGGCCCAGGCACATATGACGAATAGTAACTCGCTGCTCCGCCGCCTGGGGCCGAAGTTTACGCATGAGAAATGCAGCTCAAGCCATTTGGCCACCACCACAGACGGGTGGCTGGTGACTGGTGGCTGATGCCAGGCGGTTGGCGGAAGGCGGAAAGCGGAAGAAGGCAAAAGGAAGGTGGCAGGAGGGCCCAGCTAGAACAGACAACCGCCTGTATGAAGTGTCATTCATCTGCCCATAAACGCATTATTCAATATACTTGTGTACTAGGCTGAGGTTGGAGCTGCATCAGCCAGAAGACGCGAGAGTTGGAGGACTGCCGCAGCTAGACAAACGAGTGATCGGCAGACGAACAACAACGACGACGTCTGACTAAATGCCTCATACTGCGCTGGGGTCTTGGCTGCTGTTCCTGCCAGGCACTTGGCCAGCTTTCTGTCCGTCTGTCTGTCCGTTTGCCCGCTTAGTTTCAAGGTTAACAAGTCGCATTTGCAATTTGGGAGTAGCATTGCAGCCAGACGACCGACGACCCTTCGACTGCGAACCGCATCAATCGCTTTGGTGAGAATTAAATGTTTATGGCCATAGTGTTTGCCCAGAACCAATTTAATGAGCGACCCGACCAATGCCCGATCCCCCAATCCGTGTAGACATGTACAGCAAAAAGCACTCTCCATCGAAGCAATTGATACCCTTGGTGAACACCAATCGATGGCAGCCATCTTTGTGTTAAAATGTTGCTGGAATTAAACCCTAAACAGTCAAAAACAATGTTGAGGACTTTAACGAATGAACGCACGTAAAATGTCAAAGTTATAGTGTAATTAATTAGTTTCATAAACCCTCTCATTAAAACTCTCCTTTATGAAGCTTAATGAGTAACCGAATCCAAAGCAAGGTCCTTTAATTTGTAACATCCGTAAGCATAGCGTGATTATTGACTTTCTATGCGTTTTTTATGAATTTTAGTAATACTGGATTAAATGTCATTTAAATAGGCTTAAAGTGCGAGTGTAACTGGGATTGTGGATAAGAAAGTGCAAAAATTAGCTATGATATCAAGGCCCACTTAGTATTAGTTGAGCTCATGCGAATCGCAAAGAAAGGTAATTTTGCAGTGGCATTAAAATTAAAATATTTTCAGACGACATAGTGTCAAAAGTGCGAATACCCACTGTGGCAAAGGGCAATAACAAGCGGTCGGCAATAATGCGAAGCTGATCTATTATTCACCAGATTGTAAAAATGTAAAAATCACGCTTTCGTGTTGTGTATAAATTGAGTGCAATTTATAAATGTCCAAGCATTGAATTAAATCCCAGGCCGCCACACGGCCACGATGTTGGACCGGGCATCTCTTAGCAGTTGGTGATTTTTCAAAATAAACAACCTTGAGCCGCCGCGGAGAACAATTGCCAGTGCAACAACAACAGCAACAGGCACAATAGACAACAACAGCTGCAGCAGCAGCAAAGGATCCGCGGTTTCCCTTCAAGGCACTAGGAACGATGAAAAATTGCGCCAATTGAATTTGGCCAACGATTGTGCCCTGCCAGAAAGACGGAAAGGCGACGTTTGGGTGCAAATCTACTGGGCGGTCGCTTAGCCTTCAACGCATTTATCAATACCCAAGTGGCCGCTGCAACTATGTTACCTGGACCACAACCTTAGCCACTACCAATGGCAATACCCAGGACCAGGCGTTGACAATACCAAGCTTTATATATAAAACAATGCCGCCACCGCCGCTTAAATTTAAATTGTAAACATAGTCAACGGCTAGGGCTTTTCAACTTTTGTGCCTTAGCTTTATTCGAAAGCATCTAAAGATATCAAATTTTCTATTCTCATATAAATATTTTTATTTTATATATATGTATATATATATGATTGAATAATTTCTTACTAATTTTGTTAACTAAAGATAATACAAAAATACACATAATTTACAACATATTATTCGGGACATCAAAACTCATTGGAATTACACTATTAGTTAAGTCGTTGAGTGAATAAAATTTGGCGATTCCTCAAGTTCCCTTAAACGGTATTTTAAATATGATGTGGGTATCATTCGAAAAAAATTTCGATTTGACTTAGAAAAGGTTATAAATGTTGGAGATTTTAAATTATCTACACAAAATCTGACATATTTGATTCATTTTAATAGTTCAGGTTATTAATAATATATGGCTTCAGAATGTATTTAATTTAATTGGAAATGTAAACCATCTTTGAATTAAACCAAAACAGTAGGACTAGTTAGTGTGTTTAGCAATTAGGTGGGCTATTCATGTTGTTTTACATGACATATTCAAAGAGTTGCACATTTCAAACAATAAGATTAACAAACATAAATAATTGCTTTTGGAGAGACAACAACAGAAAAAACAGAGAAAACAATTTAAGTACATTAAGTAATACGACAAAAAAAATGAAGCTAAACACAAATCTGCTAATTATTCTAATGACTACGTTAAGGGATGTGCCTGACATTTTGCGGCTCAAATTTTTTCGGCCACGGCGCGCAGCTCTTCCATCAATGATGGCACGGCCTCTTGCCGTGCCGAGGTTACCTCCATATCGGCTAGCAACTTATTGAGATCCAGCACATCCTTACGGCAAGCGGCTACGCCCTCGCTTAATTGGCACAAATTTGGCTGGCTACGTTGACTGCGCTCAATTAGCTCCAATATATAGCTGTTGCGCGGACGACCAGTCTCCTGTGCAGTTTGCTGAATGAGCTACAGAAAATAATATTTTATTAAATATTCTTTAGAATTTAAAAAATAAGATATGGACTTAGTCCAAGGGGCAAAGGTTATAATTTCGACATTAAGACATAAAATAATTAACATTCATTTTTAAACAATTTATTGTAATTAAGCTGTGGGTAGGTTATCTACTTTGCTTGTAAGCGTTTGTAGATATGTACACAGCTTGTATATATGTACTCAGTACTTTTTTATTAAATGCAGACTAAGTTTACTTTTTGCTGCACTAAATCTCTCTATATATAAATCTGTTTATCCTGACTAACTGACTGACCGACTGATTGGTGATCAAGGCACAGCCCAAACCGTAAGAGCTAGGAAGCTGAAATGTTCACTGTAGTTACCTTTTATCATGAAGGTGCACGTGAGGACGGGGTTTCGGGAAATTCCACCCGCAAGTATGGAAAAATCGCGAAAAAACTTTGTATGAAACTTTTTTGTTTACCAGCCGATTGGCCTCAAACTCAATTTCAAAGTTCTTTGTTTAAATTCATTTTAGGGGTTTTTCACACTATTCCAAAAATGTATTCCCCTTTGGTGGAAATGGGGGTCAAAGATTGGGTGGGTGACGTTTCGCGCTCAAATTCATTTTCAAAGCTCTATATGAAAAATCATTTGAGACGTGTTTCACATTTTTCGCAAAATCTAAATTCTTTCGGTGGAAAGTGTATTTTAAAGTGATTTTTTGAGAATTTTAAGCAGTGTCCGATTTGTATCAAACTTATTTTCAAAGCTTTATATATGAATATCATGAAAACGAGTTTTAGCTATTTGGGAAATTCCATTCGAAACAGTGATACAACGACGGAAAACGTTTGTATGAGAGTAGTTTATTTACTGTCCGCTCAGTGTCAAAATCATTTTCAAAGTTATTCGAGAACATTGATTTTAAACCATAAGTGCCACGGCAAGGCCGGGCTATACCCGCTAGTGTTAATATATACCCCTCCTTAAATGTCGTCCCCATCGATACTCATGAATTCAAGTTGGCCTTGCAAGTCTTCTAAATTCGACAGTAAATTGAGAGTTACATTATTATTATTAGTGTTTTGTGAAATGGCATTTATGTGTATGTACTTGGTTAGGAATGCATGTAGGTATTTATGTAAGCATGAATTCATGCATGAATATGGATGTATGTATAAAGTATATTTCTATGTATGATTGTATGAAGCAATTACTGTGTACGCATGCATATAAGCTCTTTTGTAGATTTTTATCCAATTGTTAAGATTGATATTAAATAATGATATTAATAATAAAATTAAACGTTTGTCATACTCTTTGCATTCTCATTCGATCTCCCTTTCTAAACACATTTTATTCTATTGTCTTTCTGAAACACTCAGTCTACCCTCCAGATTTGTTTTTCAATGATTTGTACATAGAACATAAAACACACACTCATACATAAAATACTCGTGCGCTAGGTAATATCACTTTTAATTATGTAAATGTATGTTAAGGCTATTCAGAGCTGGGAACAAGTTACCCCTATTTTACATATATAGAAAATATTCGTCGCCTACCTTTTTATAGTCATCAATCAGGTTGGCAACTTCATGCGCCGGTTCCAATGGTGTGGAATTCGTCGTTGATTTTCCTAAATCTGAAACCTCGAAGCGAACTCTTTCGGCGGCCAGCGTTTGCTCTAAAACCTTTGGAAGTAGTGAGAAAAATTGACAATCTTAGGAATTACGATTACGAAATTGCTTACTTTGATCCTGGACAGCGCTTGTTCGTATCTGCCACCAATTTTGGCTAGCCTCATTTTAAGGATAGGCAAATCCATAGCAGCTTTTGCTGCGCGTAGTTCTTGTCGCAGCATTTTCGTCAGCTGCGGCCAATTCTTCACATGGTGCAGTTTGCGACCCGTTTCCGTTTCTAGCACTTGCAGCAGGGTGCTGTGTTGTTTTCTAGAGGCACATTCGCGCTCTTTTAGAAGCGCCTGCACTTGTGCCTGCAGTTGGTTTAGATTAACCGCATCAGCGACTTGTGCCTGTTTAAGTTTATGCAGTTCGTTGCTGTTCTTGGTTTCATGTGCTCGACTTAGCAGCTGCAACTGCTGCAGCTCCTCGTTTTGTTGCGCGAAGAGCTTATTAAGATGCTGCAGCTCATCAGATTTCTGCTGTAGCTGCAGTTCCATTTCTTGCTCCATTTTCTGTGTGGCCTGCAGCGCTTCGAGCAGCTGCCTCCAATCGGCCTCCATTTCATGGGTATTTCTAATTTTTTCATTTTGTTGTTGCAGCAGTTGCTGCAACAATGAAACTGTTTGCTGTTTTTGCTTGTTGACTGCTATTAGCTGCTGCTCCAGTGTCTCAATGCGCTGCTCCAACACGGGTTGAACAGTCATCGTTTGGGTGCCCTCACTGACAAGCTGTTTGGTCTGAGCCTGTTGCTGTTGCTCCTCCAACTTGGCCTTTGCATCACTTAGCTGACTGAATTGCAACACATAAAGCTGAAACTGTTTACGCAGTTTCTTTAGCTGCTGCTTCTGCTCATCGTTTTGGGTCTGCTGCACTTCCAGCTGCCGTTTGGTATGGTCACATTTGGTGCACATCTCCGCGTATTGCTTTTGAAGTTGCTTAAACTGTTGTTCTAAATTTTGAACTGTTTGCTGCGAATCCTGCAGCTGTCTGGTGATTACTGCTTTCTCTGTTGTCAGATCCGTTAGTTGAGCGTTTTTTAGCGTCTGCTCCAACTGTTGCGCCTCCAGCTGGAAATTCAATTGCTCCAGTTGCCGCTGCTGTTCCTCGTTCTGTGCCTGCAGCTTCGACATAAGCAACAATTCCGTTTGCAGCTCGAGAAGTGCGTGTTTTAGGCTGGCTATTTCGCTGGTCTTCGCAATGATCTCGCCATGAAATGCCATGCTATAATTGTGCATGGCATCGATGCTGCACTCGTTGCTCAGTTTACGTTGATAATGTTGCTTCAAGTCCAAGAATTCACGCTCTTTTAGAGCAAGCAGCTGCTCCTGTGTTTGCAACGTTTCGTTAAGCTCTGCAATGACCTGGCGCAATTGCTCCCGCTCGGCAGTGACACTGCGTAGCGTGGTCGCCTTCAGTTCCAGCTTGTGTGCCAATTGTCGATGTTCTTCGATAAGTTGCTTGCACTGTCGCGTCATGTGTTTGTTCTCCAACTCAACACCGGCCAACTGCCGCTGCAATTGCAGCTGTTTGCTATCATTCTCTAGACTCAGGCGCTCTATGTCTGCTAGTAGTTCTTTCTTTTGCTTACGTAGCACTTCGGTCAGCTGACGTTGATCCATAAGCCTTGCCTGCTGTTGTTGCGCCTCAAACGATTCGAAAGTATCCGCCGTGCCGCTTTGCTGCGCAGTTGCCGACGTGGCTGGGCTCGTTATAATAGCGTCTGCCGACAGACTACAAATTTCGAGCGCAGCATATTTTGCTTGTAGGCGTTGCGACTCCTGTTGTAGTTTCTGATTCTCCAGCATGTATTTTCGCTCCTGGGCATAGAGGCGCTCGAGAGTTTCGAGGCGGCTGTGTTTTTGTGACTGCAGTTCTTGTTTATACCACTGTTCCGACTTGCTTAGACGTTCCACTTCGCTACGCGATTTTCGAAGCTCTTGTGCGACCAGAAACAACGACTCCTGTGCTTCGTGCGGCGGAGCCTCATCCTCCTCCTGCACTCTATCCTGTTGCCCTGTCGTAGAATGATGAGTTGCATCTTCTACATCACTACTGCAACTGAAAAGGCCAGAATCATCTGCCTGCGCTACGCCCCCTGAACTGCCAGAGTCCATGGCCTTGCACGAGATCTACAAACATATTAAGTTAAGGTCGAATACTCAAGCATTACTTATGCTCACCAGCTGATCTTGGTGTGTGCCAAAATATTTTTGTAAAGGTTAGTTTTGAAATGGTAAGCACACGGGGGAATCAACTACATATTCGTTGCTGTAAACAAAAAAGACAACAAATTAACAATTTTTGCCAGCTGCGCAGCTGTTAATGCGGTACCAATGTGACCATGTTCGATTTACTTTAAAATGCGTAAGAAAAATGAATACCATAGATCAAGATATTAAAATTGTTTTTGCAATTAAAGTTGTTACTCGAGGGGCTGGCGATAATATATATCCAATGATTTTTATCAATACAGACAAAAAATACATTCAATTTATTCTTTGGGGCAATACTCCATTGTAAGAGTTTTCTTCAGCACCTAATTTTGCTACGTAGTGTTTTATTTCAGATATTGGTATTATAAACATTCAAACGCTACGGCCACACTTGCTCGCGAAACCATCACAAATAAAATCTTATTGGTAATTTGCCAGTTTTTGAAAGCGCTAAAATTTTAATCTCATTCAACAATTAGCAATTCGCGCTTAAGTATCAGTTCAAAAATAGTCAAAATGTGCACCTAAACTGCATTAAGCAGTTGGGCATAGTGCAATTACCATGTGTAAATAGGAATTAATTAGTGTAACAGCAACTGCGTGTTACAAAAGGAAACCTCACAACACAAACAAAAACAAATCACAGCAGAAGAAACATGTCTAGCTCCAGCGGAGCAGCTAGCTGCAATGGTGAAGCCTTCATCATCTATTACGAAGGTAACGCTTTGCAGCTGCATTGGAAGGGCGTGCCGCCACTCACACGGTCGCCCGCATTACGACTCTGCTCCATGGGTAGCAGGTGCAACGTTGGAAACGAGGCTCTGGCAGGGGATTCATTCCAATTTGATTCCAACTGGCTTCTGCTGCTAACGGCGGATCAATCGTTGTACTCTGCCAAGCTGATAGTGGCGCATAGTGTGCATACTTTAGAACTAACCCTGTTGCGCACGGACGTTGTTGACGTGGATTTTTGTCGAGGCAGCCGGCAGCTGTTTGTGGTGCTCGCCAATGGAAGTGTACAACGGCAACTAATAGCAGGAAGCTATCGCCCGAATGCTTGGCAAACACTTAGTTTTGATCCCCTCGAGCTGCACGATGAGGGCGTATGCATGCGTCGCGTTTGCTGTTCCGAGCAGGGCGTCGTCTTTGTCAGTGTCAGGGGTGCCACTTATGTACTAGGCAGTTGCGGCGAGGTGTTTAACGCTGAGCAGCCACGTCACATACGTCTTTGCGAGGAGGGTAAACAGCTGTTGGACCTGGCCGCTGGTGATGAGCACTTCGTACTGCTTATGGCACCGCATCAGTTGGCTGACGATGTGCTGCAGCTGCAGGAGCACATGCAAGAGGAACGGGGCTCACTGAAATCATTACACAGCGGCAGTTCGGAGCGCAGCTTTGCGGCTAACACGCGTCATTTACTTCATCAGGGATATGCGCTGCTCCACACTCAACTTTTTACTTTTGGTGCCTCCAATGGTGGCCTCCTGGGCACTGGGGATCATATACGACGCGCGCATGTTGCACGCCTCGAAAAACTTGATGGTATGGGTGTATGCAGTATTGCCGCCGGCAGGCAGCACAGTGTGGCACGGACACTGGACGGACGCCTCTATCACTGGGGCATCAACAATCGAGAGCAGCTGGGTGAGGATCTCAGTTCACCCATGGAAATCTGCTTGGCAGAGCAGCTAACGCCGGAACAGCACACAGCACTTGAGGCCACCTGTGGCGATTACCGTACGTTACTGTTAAATGCCGCCGGGCGAATACAGACATTGGCCCAATCCCAGTCAAGCACCTATGCACAGACAGTGCTGCATTTACAAATGGGAGCCGCTTGGCCGCGACAGTTGCGCCTGCTGCACTGTGCCGGTGGATACACACTCCAGAATTGCCGTCAATTCCAACGGCAATATCACTACTTCCTCAGTCACCTGGAATCACAGCTGCAGCTGCTGCTCAAGCAGCGCCAGGCGGTGCAGACGTTAATGATTTGGGAGTTGCCTGCACTGGCGCCACTGCTGCTCAACTGGGAACGCATTGTGTGCCTAGTGGCGGCCACATTGCATTCTCTCGAGGGCTTCTATCGTGCGGACTACGTGCAGCCGGCGGATATATTGTTCATATGCTACTATCGTGAGTATATCGAGCTGTTTGAGAGCTACACGAGAGCCTATTGCGATGTTCTCTCCGTGAATGGCTTTGGCGAGGCGGTGGCCGCCATCTGCCTACCGCCATTAAGCACTCACAATCCGCTGGCGGAGCTGGGCGAGGAGAGCTACTTAACACGCCTGTTTCAGCAGCCGTTTGGCATCTATCAGCTGTTCATGCAGTTCATGGAGTTGCTGGTGAAGACCCAACCCGAATACGATGAACACCGTGTCGCCTGGTCAGAGTTTGCGCGCATGAGCTGTATTAGCCAGGAACTGGCCGTCAATACCAAAGAGTTCTGGAGCAGCAAGGAGTGTACGCCGCGCATTGCCCACCTTAGGCAACGTCAACGACGTGTCATACTCACATCCAACCTGGTGCCGCTGAAACTAACCAACCCTGGCATCAGCATGTCCAGCCCCAGTTTTATACTCTTCTCTGACTTTCTGTGCCAGCTAGGCAACCATGCGCTGCACACGTTTCCACTGAACGCATTGTGGGTTTCGTCGAAGGGCGAACTGGAACTGAGCATCATCACGCCAGAAAAGAGTTTTGGTTTGATAACCAAGAAGACTGAGTCTCGCAAGGTTTGGCTTGATCAACTACAGTCGAGTATTGTGACCGCCTTGGGGCGCCCTTTGGGCAGTCCAGTGCCCAGTGTACGTTCCACCGCCTACGAATATAGTCGTGAGCATCCAAAGTATGCCAGGGTTAAGGCCTGTGGCACCTGGCGCAAGGGCGTGCTGCATGGCAACTGCTATTTGGAGTATCCCGATGGCAGTGTCTATTGCGGCGAGATGCACCACGGCGTCATCGAAGGTGAGTCTATTTCTATTATTATTTAATTGCAAATACAATATTCATTAAATATTTGCAGGCTATGGCAAAATGGTGATTCCCTCATCGGGTGTATACGTAGGTAACTTCAAGAACGGCCGATTTCATGGCTACGGCGTTTACGAGCTTAATGGCAGCGATGCCCACGACAGCGAGATTTATGAGGGCAACTTTTACGAGGGACTCTTTCACGGTCACGGTATGATGCGCAATAATCGCTACATTTATGTGGGCGAGTACGTGGCGAACACGCGCAACGGCTACGGCGTTTTGGAGGATCTGGTCAGTGGTGACAAATATATGGGCATGTTTGCGGACAACAAACGCTCTGGAGCCGGCAGCTGCATCACAAATCGTGGTGACTACTTTGAGGGCAATTTTGCGGCCGACGATCTCTGTGGCAGCGGTGTCGCTGTCTTCGAAAATGATTACTACTACGAGGGTGAGCTTACGCTCCAGGGACCAAATGGCCGGGGTGAATACTACATGCCCATCGGCGATGCTGGCAATGCGCTGGGCGCTAGTGAGGAAGACGATGACAATTATGAGCTAATTGGCAACAAAATGTTTGGCCATCTCAGTGGTAGCTGGGAGACGGTGCGCATACAAACTGGAGAGTTGGCGCTCAATCGACGCTTTCCAAAATTTCCCAGGTAAATAAGTCTATCACAGGGTGGTAATTCTCTAGTATCCTTAATTCACGCTTCATTAAAGTACACTTGGGCGCATGGTGGTGGACCACAATCGCAAATGGCGCGCATTGTTTAACAACTTTGAGGCGGATTTGGCCAATTGCAGTGCCACGGCCAGCTGCAACAACCCCTTGGCTAGCGTTTTGGGTGGAACGCTCAAAAAACCTACAAAAACAACGCTGAGCACGGCACAGATGTGGAGCTGCATAGCCATATATATGAACAAGCAGCGTTCTCGAGATGCCTCAAAGCCGGGCAACTATTTCAATAATATTCTACTCAGTTTGCCGCTGCCACCAAAGCCGGCTACGCAGCCTTTATTGAACAGTACCCCGATATCTCAGACTTCGTTGGTATCTGGGAAACAGGCTTCTGCACTGGACTTGAACAGCTCGACGCCGCGTCGCATTCACTCGCAAGAGACGTTATGCAGAAAACTAGACAGTCTACAACGTTCGGATAGCTTGCTTTCTATTGGACATAACTCCACAATAGATACAAGAAGTTTGGTAAGCTTTGGTATGAACGAAAGTCTACTGGATCGCAGCTTTAATGGAGAGTCAGTGCCGGGCAATCTGAGCAACAGTTTTGGCAGCGTGGCACACAACAATAATAACAACATATCCAAGCATAGAAACAATAGTAACTGCTCCATAACATCGACAACCTCCACAAGCAGCACAATGCTGGAGCAGGTACCAAGCTTTGGTATGGCGTCCACCCTAAGTGAACACGATGTGAGCTGCATCAGGCTGTATCTAGAGCAGGCGTTCAAGGATCGTTATCATCCGCTGTATGCGCTAAATGAGCGTATTGCCAATTGTTTCCATTACTCGTACGGATATTGGAAGGTGAAGCCCACGTCCATTTTGGCCAAACAGGCGATGCGCGAATGGGAATCTATTTCTAGGCGTATGTATCGTTTTGTTCGTAAAATGTTTCCCGCCTTGCCCGAGGATTACTGCCATCTCGAGAGCACCAGGGAGGTGATCTCGCACATAACGCTTCTCTATCCATTGGTGCTATCCGAGGGCATTTACTCAACTCTATTTGTGCTGTATGCCAACAAATACAATCGCAAGGATGAAATCTATAGACAGAACTTAAACCATGCCGAGAAGTTAAACGATGAGGAGCTGGTCCAGCTGCTTGGTCATGACAGGTAAACAAATTTATTAATAATGCTTATTTCTGTTTATTTTCTGTCTTTTCGTGCTTGAATGCAATATATGTACTTATGGGTAGGTTTTAAGTCCTACAATTTGTGTTAGTTGTAAGACGACATTTTTTACCTGCTTTAAAAATTGCAAGGTCAGCTTTAATAGTTTTTGTATTGAAAAATTATAATTTTACAGATAATTAAATTTTTCAAGTTTTTAATTCAACCAGCTGGCTAAAAATGAAAAGAGAAATTTTTATGAAAATTGTCAGTTTGCAAAAAAAAAAAAAAAATAATAATAATAATAACCTGTGAACAGCCACATATAGCTACAAAATTTGATTCAAAATTTCGTATAAATTAGTAAATCATAAGTTCAAGATCGAACCTCGCAACTTGAATCTACGTGTACTACATTTAAACGCTTAGTGAACTGACGGCTAATGTTCAAAATAATTTGTGGGCTTGTTTAAATGTTATACTTATCAGATTGTACGGAGAAAGTGTCTTACCATACCTATATGTATATGTACCCAAAAACAAGTCTTTGCCGCTGACATTTAACTGCTTTTCATTTAATTAATCTTGATCTGATTTGCAGTTGCCTCAACGCTGTCATGCTAGACACGAAATTCGAGGAGGCCGTACAGACCCTGAAGCAGCTGCAGGAGAAATTTAGTCCCCAGGATATGTTGACTGTGATACAGCGCAGCATGGAGTTGCTATCGGAGGCATATGGGCATGCCATGGCAAGTGAGTATAATTAAGTAAGTTATCGAATTACGCTCCATTCATTTTATATTCTACTATATTGCAGCAAATGCCGCACAACTCAATGCGGACAACATGATACCGCTCTCCATGCTGGGAATGCTGCGTGCCGCTGTGCCGCATTTGGGCGCTGAGCTGGCGTTGCTCGATGATCTAACGGGTGGACCCAATTTTCAGGCCGAAATGAATGGAATGGCTGGCTATTGCTATACCACCCTGAAGGCTGCCTACGAGCATATAACAATTCGTGCGCTTCAGCGGCTGCCCTGAACTCAAGCTCATATTAACCTTGTTACAATTGTTATGGCTTTTTATGCAACGATCAATTTAAATGCTAATTTATGCTTATTGCCACGTGCACACCAAAGTAAGAAAATATTCGCGTAAACGTTATATACCCTGTATATAGAGAAAAAGAAGTGCAACTGTCCTCATAGGCATAGGATTAGGTTTGTTATTTAAATGTACAGTCGTCGAAGGATTTTTGCAGTGTATCGATCTGTTTATAATGTATGTACATGTATATTTCTATAATACAACATATTAGATAACAATTTAAGATTAACACATTCCGAATCAATACATGATTTCTCGTAACAAGTAATTCAATTCATTTTTGTAATATCTGAATTCTGTCACTGGAACTTCAATTTATGCAATGACTATAGCCAAGATTAACTTTTGTGCTAATTGCTAATGAGTATATATATAAATGCCCTCCATATCATTGCAATAGACACACTCTGTATCCTGTGGGAACAGCGACCCGGATAGGTGTTGCACAAAGTTAATTTTATCAAATTTATAGATAAGATACTTTTCCGGGAATGTTGTCCCCGACGAATAGTTATAAACCAATATGATTTGATCGCCTTGATCGATAATCTTGCGTGAGGACAAATAGGCAAGGGCAAGGATTGATTTGCGAAAAGCATTGCGTCGATGGTTGACAAAGTAGGTGGTGCGAAATGGAAGCATGGTAACATTATGATACAGGGATACATAGTCCTCAGCGGAGCGCATGTGACTGACAAAAAGAATTGGCGCTTTTGGGCGAAAGTGAGAAATCTTCTGCACCATACGCGTGGTCACGCCGCAGACAACAATGGCCTTGGCATTCACCTCCAAGGAGGCGGTAACAACGGCCCGTGCTAGGCCATCGGCACCGGTATGCGAACTGTCGCAGTGGGGCATCTTTGCCAGAGCCACCGGCAGAATCTGATCGAAAATGGCGTTCTGCCAGAAGCTGAAGTAAAAGACCTGACGGGACTGATGGCACTTGACCACATATTTATCCGGATAAAAGAATATATAGTAGTAGTGGGCGGGATCGACGCGGAGATGCTGCTCATTTATGGGCCAGGTATCAAGTAAGATGGGCTTTTTGGCGTTACGTGTCAGCTGCAGGAGACATTCGGCATTGGGACACATACGCATAATATCTGGCACTATAGCTGGCTCCGCCAGCTCAACCAGCAGGCCATCGTAGCGTTCAGCGACCCAGTTCAGTTCACCATCGCAGCCCTCAATCTCGTTCAGCACGACCCGCGCGTAGAGTCTGAGATTTTCACACTGCAGCGATGCCATGACTTTCTCCAGATTATTTATATACTGGACAGTGCCAGCAATATAGGATACCACCACATTGATACCCACCTCGCGGGCAAATGTTAAGTCTTCCACCTCCTCGTACGATAAGCGATACTTGCTGCAGCGTGCCGGGAAGAGTACCGGCATAAAGGAACTCAGCGTGCCCCCACGGCATACGCAACATTTGAGATGATCCTGGCGTACGGTGCGCACCATCAACTGTATATCTTCCCCAATGAGAATGATATCAAACTGACGAACATCGGCGAGCAGAAAACGGGCGTTTACATAAATCATATCCGCTCTACTGTGCAGGGAATAATTGCGATCAGCAGTCAGAATAGTTCTGTAACCCCTTTTCAGTTCGTAGCTATCGCACTCATCCATATCCAAATAGCCAGTGTATTGTTGACGCGGCGACAACTTGGCTATAATGGTGGAGGCAACAGGAAAACCAAACTCCTTCGACACAGCTATCTCGGCCTCACGTAGCTGCACAATAATATCCTGATTTTCGCGCAGCGGTCCACGAAAAAGATCGAGTAAGAAACAGCGTATGCCGGAATCTAAGTTATATAATGCCATTTTTTAATCCTTAGCTGTGTTGCACTATTCAATATACTCACGCAAATACATATATAGATTCTCATCGCATTTCCCGCAACCCAGCTCAATGCACTTGCCGTTCTCATTTGTATTGAGGGTTTCCGGTACGCTGAGTATCTGGTAGCCAGAAAAAAAATTACCCCAACGCTCTTCATCAAAGGGCATTTGGCATATATCCTCGCTAATGCTCTCGTACATTTGCAAATCGTCGCTAAAGCTATCGACGCCCGGCACATAAGACATTATTTTCAGACTGTGAATTGATGTCAGTCGATTCATGTCCTCGGGATTCTTATGGAGACTGCCATCATCATCCTGGCCGATCAGATCTATGAATGCCTTGCGCCGCTGCAAGGAAGACAATAGCTCCTTAGCTCTGAGTACCTTATCCACATCGACCGCGACCACTTTGAGTCGCTGGCAAATATTTTCAATGACATCCGTCTTCTGTTTAATGCTGAGCTCGTTATCTTTCGATGTTTCGGATATCTCATGCACGTCTGCCTTCAATTCGTCCATATTGATTTAAGCAAATTGGCCAAAAACAAATACAATAAAAAACTACAGCTATTAAAGCTCATATATCTGATCACAACTGGATGTAAGGCACATAGTTTTACAAATATTATATACTTTATATTCAATTCGAGAACAATATCAGTGTTGTGAAAAATTTGATTTTCATATCAAAATGAAAATAGTTACATGTATATCACAACAAATGTGTCGGTCTTAAGTTTTGTTTGCTGAAACTGGCTTAGGTGTTTGCTTCTTTACATTTTCGTTGAAGTTTTCCGTAAAATTATAAACTACTCAAATTATTCATAATCAAAGAAACATTTAAATACTTTAAGCCTGAGTCTATTGGAAATTTTCAGAAAGGGTGTAACAGCTGTGTGTTTATGCATCAGTCAGAAGGCAACAGATCCGACTCCATACAGTTTTTACATTCCTGCCCAGTCATATCCGTCTGTCTGCTTGTTCGGCCCAGAAACTAAAAAGCATGAAATACTTAACAAGCGGCACTCAAGCTCATGTTTATGGCAAAAGATAGATCAATTTTTTCAAACATTGATAACAATCGACATATCTCGAAGCTTTTAATGCCTAGACTCTGTTAGTTTTTCTCTCATTATGTATATACAGATCAATAATAATTACATTTTTTGATGCCTTCTTTGTAAAATTATTAAAGAAACTGATTTTTTTAGGCATAGTCCGGGACTTTTATGGGTATTTACACACATTTGGATGCCATATAAATAACAAAATACAAGTAAGAGGTTATAGTCGCGAGCTCCCGACTAGGGGATACACTGAACCCTCTTCTTCCAACATCAAATGCATATATATATTCTATTTTAGAAGCTTTATGTCAAGTTTGATGGCTGTAGCTCTTATTATTTACCAAAATTACCCAAAAAAAACAGGATATCGGTATCGATTCTTATCGATTGTTTGGAAACGACGTAAGTTATCGATGATCGAAAACAAACTCGAATTGCGCAGGCACTACTCTCAAATTTCAAGCCTCTAGATCTTTTAGGTTCTGAGATCCTTGCGTTCACACATACGGACGGACGGACAGACAGACGGACATGGCTAAAACGTTTCGGCTATGGATGCTGATCAAGAATATATATACTTTATGGGGTCGGAGATGCTTCCTTCTGCCTGTTACATACATTTGGATTTTGCACAAATACAATATACCCTTATACCCATTTTTAATGGGTTCAGGGTATAAAAAAAGGGAAATAAATTGGTCTTGATAAACAAAAAAGGTTTTAAATTAAAAACCTAAATTTCGACCGATTGTTCCTATGGCAGTTATATGATATAGTGGTCCGAACTTAATAGGATTTTGCATATATATGAGGAGTATAGTAAAACTGATAAATGCCGAGTTTGGTCAAGTGACCTTGATAAACAATCTTTATTTTCTTATAGCTTAATTTTCGACCGATTGTTCCTAGGGCAGCTATATGATAAAGTGGTCCAACAGAAAGAGGAACATCTGCAAAGTTTCATAAAGGTAGCATTAAAACTGAGAGAATAGTTCGCATAGAAACAAACAGAAGAACAGACTCGGTTGTTGATACTGCTAAAGAATATATATACTTTATGGGGTCAAAGATGTCTCCTTCTATGCGTTACACATTTCACGACAAAATTATAATACCCTCTGCAAGGGTATAAAAAATCTGGAAGAGACTCTAATATTTTTAAAGAACCTAATATATTAATTAATGAAATGAAAAAAATGTTCGCCTTGGCTTGGTTATTCTTTGTCCAATTCGGTTTAAGGTTCGGTTCATGGTGTATATACAAAATTAGAATCTGGAGCCTAAGACAGCTCGACTAATAAATATTACTCATAAGTTCACAAGAACTTACTGTAATTTAGTATTGGTTTCGTTTGATTTTTGTTAATTTCCACCTTAAAAAGAAACCGCAGGTAAAAGATTTTCTTTTTGTATCATTCTTTGTGTTAATTTGTTTATTTCCGTAATTTATTTGTATGCTTTGTGGAGCGAGATGTTAAATTTAGCAACGCGTCAAGTGAAATGTTTACAATGTGAGGGAAAGTTAAATGGAAGCTGGCAGTACGTATAACTGAGCATTTTCCGATTTTCCAGCGGCAACAGCAGCGCACTTGAGCACCAGCAGTAGCAGAGTCAGCGGCAACGGCAGCAGCCCAGCAATCCCGCCGCAGTAGCCAAAATCATCCGCCGCCCCGAAAACATAAACATACGAAATGTTTAGAGAATAAAAATTCATATTCCAGGCGAACATTTTTCAGTTTGTAAGTTTTTCCTTCTTCTTTTTCCCTGATGATCTGTTCGTTGGACTGTTTTTGCTGTTGTTGTTTATTTTTGCTGAGAGCTGACAGATACACGGGCCGCTCTTGGGTGTGGCCAGTGCATGTTTAGCCTAAACAACGGCAAGAGAATTCCGTCTTCCTTTTGCTAACTAATCAGTCGAGTGCAGGCCGCTTGAACTTTGACGTGAACTGCAGCCGTCGGATGTGGCACTCTGGCTGGGAATGGGACTCCTCCCTAATAAGCTATTTTGTCCGTTTTTAGAAACAATTTCTATGCCACAAGACGACAGCACTAGCTGCGGCGGCGGCAGCGGCAGCGGCAGCGGAAACGTGTGTGTGGGTGGGTGTGGAGATGATGTATAGAGGTGGGGTCATGTAGGGACGCAGTCGGTATAGGGGTATGCTGCTGTGAGACCATGGGAGGCCAGCTGCTGAGCATCGAACATGAATTGCCGTGCTCGTGGATCGTTCGTGCACTTGAGTTCCGGGCCGCTCGCTCGCTGGTCGGTCCATTTGGGCCTCTCGCTCGCACCGTTCCCGAAAATGTTATCCATCTCTTACAGTACGTTTCGTTTCGTGTCGGCATTTCAATATTTTTATTTTTCTTAGTCTTTTTCTACTTTTTTGTTTTGTGAATAGAATTTTTCAACAATTTGGCTGTCCTAGAGTTTTCAAAATTTTGGAGCGTAGGTGCAGTGTGTCGCGACGCGTCAGCCTGTGCGGATCGGTGCTCTATAGTTTTTTGTCTAAACTCAAGAAGAAAAAATAAGGAATATTCAAATATTGAACATCGCATAAAGTCAAGGAGAAAAAAATAGCAATTTGTTGCGTTGCGCTAAATATGTAAACCGAAAGTGTTTCATGAGTGTCAGGATATTTGGTAGGAAGTGTCTCTTTTGAACTGCGGAAGTGGGCGTTTTGCTTGTTGCCAAGTTGCCATATGCACATATATAGACCACATATATATGCAAATACGCCGACGCTCATACATTCATATATGTAGACAATTTTCGGCTTTCCAATATTTTCACTCAACTCTGCCTTGCCTTTGGCTAAAAATATTTTCCGTTAAAAACGTCGAAATATCCAAAAGGAATAAAAAAAAACAAATAAAAGAAATGAAAACATCCACTCGTCTCAGTGCTGCCGCCTGTTTTTCATAATTTTTCATCTTTATTTTATTTATCGTATACATGAATTTTTGCTCTCAAACTTTTGCCAAAGCGTTGCGTTTCTCATTGGATTTCGCATGTCGTCATTTTTGTTTACCCCCCCTGCACAAAAGTTCCCAACATTTTCACAATTTTCACAATTTTTCGCGGCCTTTGTCTTTGGCAGTGGAGCCGAGTGGGCATAGAGCTGCCTAATGAAACAAATCACAATTTAATAGGCATAGCGTATAGTTTACAACTTCCTTGACTATATATATCTAAGTAGATAGTACGTTAGATACATATGTATGAATCTAAGTATATACATATGTGTGGCATGGAAAGACAGCTGTGTGCTCTTTGGCAGATGTTATGCTGCGTATGTGGGGGAAGTCCATAAAAAACAAAAACGAAAATAAAAAAATAAAGAAACAAACCAGCGCACAGTTATAAAAATAAAACTATTTTTGTATGGGATGCTTTGAGCAGTCGATGATCAGAGTATTTCGGCTTTTTGCGAACAGGCAGCACAGAGTCTCTTGGCACAGTTTTCCAGACTCGCCAGCCCAAGCATAAATCAATCATGGCAAATTCAATTAATTCAATTCAAATACGAAATTAAAGCTTTTTTCTAATCTAACAACCCAACGCAATGTGTCTTGTCAGGGTCTATATGAAAGTATACTTAACTTGATTGTATATCTTTGATCTATAAAGTTCTAGTCGATTTGTCTTTTTCCGCTTACTGGCGTTTTATTGAGCAACGACAGGAAAGGGAAAAAGGCGTATTTACTATGAATTTGTTCAACCAATCTGTTTAAACACCTATTCAATGAAAAGAAATGCTAATCATACAAATAGAGATCAACTGGTGAGTAGCCCTTTATAAATATATTCTCAAGTGCATCCCTTAAATACTTATATGCAAATGTTTTGTAACCCGCTAATCAAAGCAGACATCTTAAACGACGCATGTCGACAATTTTACGCCAAATCTAATGATTCATTTTAATAATGAATCTCCGCCCTATAAAGCATTTGATGCGTTCGTTTTGCAAGGACAATATACTTGAGCAGCATTTTAAGCATAATCAATCATTAAAATTTCATACATATGTATATATATGAAATATGTATATATATGTGTGTATATATTGTTTTTTCATTAAAGCTTTTGATCTACAGATACAGAAATATGTGTCTATGAACGTTTTATTTATATTCTTTTTATAACATTTAATAATTATGAATTTTGGGCTAAGCTCTGCCGTATTGACGTTTCAAATTTAGTTTTCTAATACATTGAATTTGAATGTTTAAAAAAACAAATGTAGGGAATACTTGCGTTAGATTTATAACCATATGCTTGAAATATTTCTAAAAATAAACCAATTGAATATCTGGAACAATACAGTTTCTATAAATATGAAATAATTGTTTTTTGTCTGTGACTAACTTCCAAATTTAATAAATTAACTTAAGCATAACATATTGAACGTTAATTACTTCAGCTTAAAATAAACAAGATATAAACCTGTAAATTACATATTTCCAAAAAATATAGCCGATCGATACTGCCATAAAGCTAATATATATGCATATATATTAATAAATTAAAACACACTTATATCTAAGTAATATTTCCAGTTACCATATACATTATATATTGAAGGCTATGCACATTGAAGTCGCTGCATATATAGTATGTCTTTATAAATATATGGAAATATATATATATATATATATATGTATATATTTAGTAAAATACCACCCCCAATCTGAGGCGCTGATATTTTTGTAGCATTTCGAATGAAATGAAATTAAATGTATAATTTATTGTTGCATAAACAAAAGGCACGAAACCGAATCGAAAATCGAACCAAACGCAGCCGAAGCGCATGTGGCACCTTTAAGTATTTCGATTTGTATTCGGCCCCAGACCCCGCTCTCACCTCGAATATCGCCCTGATTTGGCTTGGTCTATTTGGAACGCATTGTATTTTGCAGGGGCTGGAAAATTTAGTGTTCCCGCACGAGCTGAGCCAAAAATAACAATCGGGCGGCGAGGGCGCGAATGTTAGAAAATGTGTGGGGGGAAGGTTGGTGGAGGAGGTGAAGCGGTGCAAAGAAGCACAGATTTGTTTATAGTTTTCGTATAAACAATTGGCAATTGAGAAATCGCTTGTTCGAGAAAAATCGAACAGTTTTTGCTGAAAAATGACGAAGATGGTTGTGAAATTCGTGAGCATTCAATAATTCCAATTCTACTGCGGGCTCTATAAAAAAAAAGTTCAAAAACCGAAAAGAAACAAAACTGAAAAGCTGAAAATAAAAACGTTGGGGAAACAATGCATGCAGAAATATCGGCGAACCGCATCATACCATAATCATATAATCATGCTAAATAATGAATGCAAACTGAAGCGCAACTGGGTTGGCGTTAAGAGCAAAGTAAACAAGTGCATAAGGAATGCGAGAACGATGTGAATATGAATAGGCAGGAATACTCATGAATACCCGAGTACTTATGGGCTCTGTGTATGTATGTATCTGGCCGGATGATCTGAAATTGAATGCCAGAAATTGTAGGGCGTATACATGCAGTTAATTGATATGAAATTAATTCTTAGAACGAGTTTCAGCTTACAAAAATTTTGCGACTTAATGTATGTCACAAGCAAAAACCGGTAAGGATGATGACCACAAATAATTATTTGTGTTTTTTTTTTTTTTTGCATTTTGGTGGGTTTGGCCTTTAAAAGGCGACTAATCGGCTGCAGAGGCTCAAACCGTAGAGAGCAGCGGCACAAACAACAACAGCATGTTGAAGATTGTAAGTAGCCGCAAATCTTCCATTCTCCTGGTTACGTCCATTAATGCGGCCACTTCCTTCGATGCAGCTACTTAGCATTTTTGGCCTGTGTCTGGTTGGCGCTATGGCCGCGCCCGCCGATGTCGATCATACAAGCACAACGGTGCCGCCAGTGGCTATTGTGGATTCGGGTCAGGAGAAGCATGAGGATGGCTCGTATCACTTCTTTTACCAGGGCGAAGATGGCACCAAGCGCGAGGAGACGGCCGTGGTGCAGAATGCAGGCACTGAGGATGCGTTCCTCGAGGTGAGCGGCACCTACTCGTATTTCGATGCCGACGGCAAGGAGGTAGTTGTCAACTACAAGGCCGATAATCGCGGTTTTGTGCCCGAGGGAGGCAACATATTGCCACAGATATCGCTGGCCGCCAAGCTGGCCAGTGAGCAGAAGCAGCTTTTTCCCGATACGGACTATAAAAAGCCGCCGCAATACGAATAAATAGTGACCAAACGTTGAAAAGAAAATATTAGTTTTTATGCCTACAAACCATTAAAAATGGTTAGAATGAGTATATTGGTGTAATGCAAATGGAGGAAGTAGGCTTTTTCCATTCTCTTGATTAGCATTAACAGCCAAATTGATCTAGCCATATCCGTCTCTCCGTCCGCAATTTTAATTTGCTTTAATATAAAACCTTTATCAAAATTCAGTTCTCTGAGCATATTTCGGAGAATATAGGAGCGTAATACTCCAAATTTAATTTGTTAGTTTTCCGCTATTCGGAAACTTATACTAAAATACTTTCCCTCAAAATGGATTTATGTTGTATGTCCATTTTTGGAGAGATATTGTTGGACTTTGGTATTCGCATAAATTTGAATATCAGAATTTATGCCGAACTTAATCAAGGGTGTATTCCTCACAGTATGGGGCTAAGGAATGTTTAAAAAGAAGCAAGAATGTTGGCAACGGCAGCTTGTGGCTGGGTTCAGGGTATATACATATATTGTTTTAAGTTTTATTTTTCATTTAATGCAGAAACAATTTCAACTAACTACAGGTTTGCTACTGGACGCTCTAAGCTGTCCCACGTTAACTAGCATTTAAATTAACAGTGCGCTGAACAAGTTGAGAGTACAAAATACAACTACAAGTATTTAGGGATAGGTCTAGGCATAAGGGGCGTTATAATACATATGAGAACGAGAGCTCAAAGAGATTCGTTAAGAACAATGCAATAAATATGACATAAGCAGAACATATGCTGTATATGTTAGTCTGGGTAAGGAGCGAGATGTAGCCGCTACTTCTTGACAGGCGTAACCGGCGGAGAGCGATAGACGTTGACCAATCCACCAGCATTCGGCTTGCGGCTCTTGAGTCGCTGCTGCAGCGTCTGGAGCAGGCCGGCCAGGACATCATGATTTGGTATCTTCTTGGCAAACAGCAGACGCTTCACTGAATCATCGTAGGTCAGCAGCGCGACCATATTCTGTAGCAGAAAGCACTGGCAATACTCCAAGAGATTATTGGCATTGTAAACCTGTGAGAATGAATCCGATTTGGTCACCAGCTCCATGTGGATGACAGTAATAAGCACCAACCTTAGCATGTATATACATGGCGACCACATTGTCCACATCAACCATCTCGGAGCAGCGCGCCTCTGTGTAGCGCAGCAGCGCCTCCAGCTGAAAGAAGCTGGCGGCAGCCATCAGTTCGAGCACGTCGCCATGGGATACATCCAGAGCACTGCAGCCGCCGCTATATAGAAACTGCATGACCAGCTGGAAGATGTGATAGCGTATATCGTTGATCTGGACAGTGGGCGTGCTGGTGGCATCGCTTAGCTTGGCACTGAGCATGCTCTGAAAACGTGGCGAGGCCGTGACCAGCACTATTTTGTGGCCATAGAATATTTTACCCTCGACGCTGCAAGAAAAATATGTGCAAAGTAAACATTAAAAGTAATCCTGATAAGTTGATAGGGCTGCTGGCATACCGAAAGGTGACATCGCTTAGTTCTGGATTGTTGACAAACTTTGGATCTATGCGTGTGCCCTGGACTGGCTGCAGTGGCGGCTGCTCTTTCAGTGGATGCAGTGCCTCCCAGCCAAAGCATGTGGCGAATATGTCCGCCAGGAGCAGTGTGGTGCCCTCGTTCTTATTGCGAAAGATGTTGAAAAGCAGGGGCAGGCACTCACTAACAAACTGGGCGCTATAATCATCGGGGCAAACCTGCAGAAAGTCCTGCAGCAGCTGATCAATGACCGCGTCCAGTCGCAACTCGTGAGCCGCCGACAGCGCATGCATCCAGCAGTGCAAGGTCCAGGGCACGCCCAGCTTGCGTAACTCTATGGTTATGTCTGAAATGGAATAAAGAATATATTCTTAGCATTTTTCGAGGCTGTTCTCGTTTGGAATTTCTTTGGATTTGCTGCTTACCCAAGTGATTGTTCTCTGCGCTGTGGTACATGGCCTCCTGGAGTCGCTTGATCTGCGTCTTGTTCAGAAGCGGCAACAGGTCCTCTCCAGCGACTGTGGCCGCGGCGGCGCCAGAGCCGCGCACACCCACCACATCGCCCTCGGCAAGCATCTCCTCCAGCGAGAGCACATCCCGCGTGCCCGGCGACAGCGGATGCGTAAGCAGCTTGCGCAAGCACGAGCGATGCCCATGCGCTGCCGCCACGGAGATGGCACAGAAGCAACCCTTCTGCGCGGCACCCGCAAAGCACAGTGTATCCTTCTGCTGTGTGGACAGGAACGCATTGGCGCCATGCGCCAGTAGAAGTGCCACCATCTCCAGATTGCCTGTGCCCGCGGCCAGTTGCAGCGGCGTCAATGTGCACTTCTCCTCGCTGCTGCGAGCACCGCCCTCCACCTTGCCGCCGCGTTCCAACAGAATGCGCAGCGCCACATAGTTAGCACGGCTGGCGGCAAAACTGAGTGCCGTCCAGTGTTGTGTGTCCGGTTGTATGGCCGGATAGCCAGTGCTTCCTGCCGCCGGCACCTCCACATTCGGATCACAGCCGGCATCGAGCAGGGCATGCAAGGCGACCTCATCATTCCGTATGCTGGCAATCATCAGAGCTGTTAACCCGGCGCTATTTTGTGTATCATAGCGTGTGGTGGGCGGCAGCAGCTGCGCGGCTTGGGCTAGAAGCTCGGCGCGACCCGTCAGCAACAACTTGAAGGCGACACCAATGGTAGCACGCCTGCCCAGTTCTGAGGTGTCCTCGCCAATACTGCTCACGGCCGGGGAACTAGAGCTGGAGCTGCCAGTGCCCGTGGCGCTGCCACCCTGGCTGCTGCCGCTGCTAAAGTGCGTCTTCTTTGTGGGCAGCTCCTCATCATGGGCCACAGGACGTATGGGACAATCCACGCCGGGCAGCAATAAACGCGCAGCCTTCAACAGGATGTAGATTGGGTGTGTTAGGGCATGAAACACTAATTAAATGCGCGCCTCAACTTACCTGTAAAATATCATCCTTGTCAATCATTAAGCCATTGCGATGCTCAGCGTGCGCCGATGCCACTCGCAGCCATTCGGCCAGCGGTGGTAGCACCACGTAGGCGCGTTCATAGCACAGCTCCTGAACGTTTTGGGTGCCACTATTAGGTGGTGCCTGGCCGGCCGTTGAGCTCTGGGCAGCCAGTTCTGTGTGCTCCAGCTGGGAGCAGCGCATAAAATAGAACAATGCACTTAGCGCCGCATTGGAGAGGGCGGTCGCATGCTGGAACTCCTGCTGTGTGCGCAGCGCCTTCTCCTTCAGCTCGCGTATGCTGCCCACACAGGTGGCCAGCGAAAAGGCGCTTGCCCAGCGTGGCATGGCCAAAGCGCCGGAGGCAATGCGTCCGGCATTCAAATGTGCAAACGGCTGCAACAAACCCCAGAAATCGCCTGAACTGGCAATGTTCTGATCTAGAGCCTGGGCTGTGGTGCCACCGGCACCGCCGCCACACTGCAACATAATCTCCTCGAGCAGATTCTCAATGCCAGCGCACAGGTAAACGGCAGCATACTCGTGTATGAACTTGCCCAGCCGAGCATCAGTCATCCATCTGAAGAAGCTGCCCACCGACAGCTGTAGACCAGCGCGTGAGGACTTGCTTTGCTTGAGGGCGCTCTCGCCGGGCACTGCGAACATGGCTGCTGCACGCAGGCACGCCTTCGTGCAGGAGTCGGCAAGTGTGGAGCAAAGTACCACCTTGAAAGCGCCGGTCACCTCCTGCTTGGAGCACAAACCCAACCCAGCCGAGAAACGTTGTATCTCCCGTGCGATGCGCACCAGAGCACGCTGCAGCAGATAACCTAGCCGGGATATGACCTCGACAGACACATGCTCCGCCTGCTGCTTGCAGCGTCCATTCCGCAGCACACGCATAATGCACTGTTGGCTCCACGGTGGATGCTGCAGCTCCACGAGCCGATTGTGCGAATCCACCCACACAAACTCATCCGCGCTGGTGCTGGTGATCACCGTCTCCAGCGATGAATAGCGTCCCAGTCGCCTGGCCGGCTCTGAGCTCTCCGAGCCGGCGCTCAGGCTGCTGTAGGTGCTGCTGCTAGTCTGGGAGCGCATAGTCAGCTGCTGTATGGCCAGCTTTATGTCCTCTAGGCCGCTGCCGCTCCAGGGTGCCTTGCCAGCTGGTAATATACCACGATGGCGTCTCGAGCGTGTGCTCCGATTGGTAACACCGGCGGCCAGCCGATCCTCGGGCAGCGGTCCCAAAGTCATGCCGCCCGCAGGCGAGGAACTGTGCCCGCCCGTATCCGACATGCTAGCATGGCCCGAGCTGCGATTCTCATCCGAGGAACTGTGGCACTCCTGCACCCGCTGCAGCGCCCGAAACTGTTCGTGCTGATGCGTTCGCGTCGCCTGCGTCGTCGTCGTGGATGTCGGTATGCCCAGTGTGGGCCGACTGGGAGAGCTTTGCAGGCTGCCACTCAGCTGCGGTGGCTGAGACTTTACTGGCGTACTTTGCACCGTCAGCCTAGCGGGTCCGGCCACCGCCCGCTGCGGCATTGCCGCCTTGGAGATGGGCGACGTCAGCTGCTGCTGCTGCTGCAGGGGCAAGGGGCTGGTTACCACTGGCAGCGCATTCGCTGTTATCTTATTAACGCTCACAGGCGCCTTGTTCGGCTGCTGCGCCAGCTCCTTGAAGACGCGTGGTGCTGGCGTAGCCATAGCCACCGCATGCCCACCACCGCCGGCTCCCACTTGTGGTGTACTATGTGCTGCAAGGGCTGGTTGCGCCTGTTGCTGTGTCTGCAGCTGCGTCTGCAACGGCACCGGCACTGGCGGCAATCCAGTTACCTGTGCGGGCGCCTGCTGTCCAAAGTTTGGCGGCAAGTTTCCCGTGGGTCTGTTGATAGATGAAAAACATTGACTTGTAAGGTATTTAGTCAAACTGGACTTAATGTATATGACAGAAGTATATTAGTACAGTGAAATTACCCTGACGGACACAGTTTTAGGGTTTTCGTTTCTGTAAAACCAGCACGAATTTGGCTTAGCTAGTC